TGAGTTATTTCATGTCATCTGGAAGGTTAGATATGTTCTTCAGATATACAAGGATGGGTTAAAAGCATGTTTCTTCAGGTAAAGGGTAAAGATGCTACCTATAAGAATTCACACCCACCTCCCTCCTTATCATTGCTGGCCAAATTCCCGCAATATAACAGTCTCTCATTTCATAAAAGATTGTTAACTATAATCGCAACGTCGTTTTTGATCATGTTGTCGTAACATTGACAACTGATATGATATGTTCCCTCCATCAGATTTCTGAAAAATTTCTTGCGAAGAATGAGAGACTCTACTACATGTTTTTGATATTATCAATTCTTTTAAAATTTGATGTAGTAAGTCTTGAAGGAACTTGACTTACATAAGTATTATCTCGTTTCACAAAATAATTAAAGGTTCTGTTATTTCTGATGAGGAACTTTCCTTTATCCAGAAACACGGTTATATCTTGGCACCATTTGTTTTTACACACTATTCTTTTGTCGAAAATGCTTTAATATGCTTATAGTGACCATGGAAATGCGTAAAATCTGTATGTCACACAAGGGCTAGTCTTTTTGACAACTGGCATTTTAAAGTGTAAACTTTATGTAGAACCAGCATAATTCTTCATCTTTTTCCTGATAATACTACACTTTATATATGCTAAATATCAATCACCAAATACAAGACTCAAGAGAAACTCAGAGTAGAGGTTTACTGTTAAAATAGATATGATGAATGCAATATAAAGGGAAGAGAGAGTGGTAAGGATAACGAGGATAGGTTAAGATTATCATGTTCATGGATTTTTTGCAAACAAATATTACATTTACAATTTTTGAGAATAACAATCATTGTTCTAGATACAGGTACTGCTATTTAACACATAGCTGGGGGAAGAGATAATACCATAGCCTTCTCAAGATTATTTGAGCCTAAATGAACGTAAAGAACCTGACTGCACTTAAAATATATGTACATGGAAGTGTGCACGCGGCAGTCTGTTCAGCAAAGTAACACTGAGAGTGAACACTCTGAGTGGACCATTCTCTTTACATTTGGAATACGAAGGAATTGAGTGTTATTCTTCTTCGTGGATGTAGCTGGCGTATTCAAGCTGACCCGTTAACAAAAATTGTTTGCTATGGAATTAGCGATAGAGAAGCGATATGCTTTTGACTTTGAATCTGTGAAAAAAAAAGCTGCAAAATAGAGAACAATTCTAACTATGCAAATCATTATCTTCCTCCAATAAACTGTTTTGAATGTTGAAAAATAAGAACCGAGCAGTCCCAACGCCATTAGTAGTTTAATTTGATTCTTGTGATGGTAAACTGTTATATACCGTACATATGAACACTAATGGGTATGTCCCAATCCTCATAAATACTTTGGACACTATAGTAAGTGGGGGCAATATGCTTTCTCTATGTAGTCCACCACTAGAAGTGGTTTACCTACTTCACGTCGCTGGCGAGTATTTTATTTTGTTGATGTTATAAAGATTACCATTTCCTTTCCAACCTCCGTTTTGGTTATTCCTCATTCACTAAATTCTTCTAGGTTACACATAAAGCATAGCAGAAAAAGTTAGAAACTTTCCAAATTGATAGAATGAGCCGACCTTTGTTCAGCGTCTTTTGCAAGGAATCGTATATATGATTTCCACCTGAGGTCTGGAGTGATCTTGAGATCCAATAGATATTTAAAGCATGGAGGCTTATTGAGAGAACAACCATTAATCATGACAGGAGAAAATCCATGGATTGATTGCTGATACACGCTTGGCATTTCAGATATTAAAAGTTACAGGCCAATTTTTCCCAGTGAGCTTCAAGTCTCCGATCATTTTGATTTTAGGAAATGCATCAAAAATCCGCTGCATAAATGTTTACTAATGATCTAAGAATGTTCCTAGGCAGCTCGTTAATAAAAAGCATAAAGTGGGTAGTACTGAGGAGAGTCCTAGTGCTCATCTTCAGATGTTCTCTTGTAAAATAAGGTCTTTGAACTCGTCATTTGCTTAATATGTCTAAAATATGTGCCAACTAAAATCTATTGCTTAACAGTTTATTGAAATAAAACAAAAGCAGATTACTCACAAATTCAGTGATCCACTAATCAACGTAGTCGGTAGAAAACTGAATAAATGTGAACTCTTTCATTAACTTAGAAAGAATTAGCATTCGATAGACGATAAAAGGTAAGTTAACCGAATTCCCGACTCCTTTGAATAGTTTCATCATCGCTTTTTGAATGAAACAGGAATTCTTTCAAAACAAATATTAGTGTGTACGGAGTTATTTTGACCAGAAACTTGTATAGATCAGAATCATGGACCCAGTAACTGACATTAATCAACCTGATATATTTCACAAATGTTCTCTTCGTTCGATCTGTTAATACATCTTTCAGAGAAAAATATCTAATTATGATCTACTGATAATGTTGTAAGTGTTATTCTTGATGCAATCCGAATTAAGAATGAATGGTCGTGTTATAAGGATGAGTGATGACAGAATATATAAGGTTGCCATATACAATCAACTTTCATAATGATGGATGTTGCGTTGGCCGACATGGAATGTGTCTCAAGGACAAGCTGAAATCCGGTAACATCTTTCTGAAATAACTGCCATAAATATTGGAGGCCTTTCTACAAAGTTAAAGAAGATTTTTAAGAAATCGCGGCTTAGATCAATGGTCCCCAAACTGTGCGGCGCGGTTCATAGGTGAGGCGGAAGAGGATAGCAGGTGAGGCGGAATAATTGAAAGGCAATCAAAGATTTACAAAGTTTCAAATAATTCATATGCTAAGAATAAATATGATTATATTTAAATACCATTATCGATTACTTAGAATTGCACGCTTAACTCTGAACATAAATCGTTATGAATACTTATTGACGGATTTTATCATTTTGATACTTTTGCATTATATCAAATATGATGAATATAGTACGTAGGATCCGCAATTTGGAGGAGAGAGTTATCAATGATAATGTTCTGTCTTCGGATTCGCATCTCTCTCTCTCTTTCTCCCCCCTCTCTCTCTCTCTTTCTCCCTATCTCTTTTTCTCTCTCTTTCTTTCTCTCTGTCCCTATCTCTCTCTCTATGTACTTTTTATCACATAAAAATTGGTGAAGGGCGAGCAAATGTTCATTCCGATTTTGGAAACCACTGCCTTAGTGACCCGAGACCTATTTAAAAAATTAAGAATATAAACAGGGGCGTTGTCTAAAACACCATCCGCTGATTGCGGATGGAAATGCACAATCCATGCTGGCTTTCTATGTCACAACAGACAGATATATATATATATATATATATATATATATATATATATATATATATACATTTGATGATAAAAAAAGAAACTGTTCGATTCGTATACGTCGACATTGACAATTTCTCAAAGTAAGAAATTATAATGTAAATAAAATATTTTTAGAAGAATCAATATATATTCAAGAAATTAGTATTTTTTAAATATTGAAAATTTTAAAGCATGTACACGGGTTTGAATTCGCATTAATTTCCAAGATGAAAATAATGGAGCTACCAACTCGAAACAAGTTTAACGACTAAAAATAATAATTATAGTAATAAGAAGCAATGTCGGATTAAAACAAATCCATCTTAAAAATTACTTTTCCAGACCGAACATAAATCTAGCAGATAAGAAAGGTCTGGAAGTGAATTGGGAATTCCTTAAATATATAACTGAGTTTAGACTTCTCATCGTTTTCCATGGCCTAATACTTCGGCTACATACGTTGTTTCCCCGGGAGAAAGGAACACATGTTCGATTCCATTAGGGAGACATAGTTTTCATTAATAAAGTATTCTCAGTTTATCGTCCGGTTGGCATTAATTTCACTGGTTAGAATAAAAAGAAATCCAACTGAAACATGTGTACTGGCTAAAAGTAACGTTTACCCTAATAATAAATAAATATATATGTTTATATTATCTCGCTAACCTCTTCATTGAAAATCACTTCTATGTTTTTAAAGATTTTTTTTTTTTTTTAAATTTTAATTTAATTTCATCTTCTTCAATTGGATCTGAATCAATTATCAAAGGGATTTATAATGCGCTTTGCCATTTCTTAACCCCAACCCCATTTTAATCCTTCTACATCAAGGTGATAATGTCATCAGGAGGTTACTCGGAGTGAAAGAAAATAGGAAGACATTAGTGAGGAAGTGAAAGGATAATAAAAGAACAGGACTCAGGAAGATAGAAGATGGCTATTGGCGTTGTATTTAATTTTTTGAAAATTGTAGGTAGTAGGGAATCAAGAAATTGTATAGGAGTTCCACAGATGAAAGTGAAAGTAAAGATACTATTCGAATTGACCTGACGGTTACATTTAGCTAGTTCAACAGTAAAACAGCGAGTTATAGTTTCTAATCGCGTGGCACGCTTAAATTCATGTAGTTGAAACATCAAGGAGGAAAGCTCATCAACACTATTACCTTGATAATATTCATAGAAAAGACAGAAGTAAACCATGTTACGTCAGTGAGGAAGAGACAGAATCCCAGGTGCCAGCTCAGAGCTCTCTTTGAATTCTATCAATAATGTCGAGCTATATATTAGAGTTACCAAACCAACTATGGCATCGGTATTCAATGTACGGATCAATGGTAGATTTATAATTGTGTAAGATGGATTCTGATGAGAAAGTTTGTCTGGCGCAACACAGTGAACCTCATTCTTGTCTGAATATTTTTTTTTATTGCCCGTTTTTCTTACTGGATCACTATCACTAAATATTCTCGATTCTGAATTCCATTTCACGGTTTTCAATAAAACTATGCTGTTTCACTCAGCATTAGCAGTTCAGCTTTATTTTGCCTGGCCTCACCTATTAAAAACAAATATTTTTATACTTGTTAAGAGTCGGAAAGATTTATATAAACCGTGTGGTAAATAGTACAATAGAAATAAAGAATAAATTTTGTGGGCATCCTTTAAATATATAAAATCTTCTGTGGGATTTGACCAAATCTTTTTTTCGCGTTCAGCTTCAAAACCAACTTCATCATTGTTCTATAGATAGATAGATATGAATATACTGAAAAAGATATAAAATTTGAACATAGATATAAAATTTGAAAATATCGAGATAGCTATAAATTATGACGATAGATAGATATAAGCAGAGTGAGAATAACATATATATATATATATATATATATATATATATATATATATATATATATATATATATATATAGATATGGACAGATAAAGCAGATAGATAGATAGATAGATGATATGAATATACTGAAAAGATATAAAAAATAGATAGATATGAATATACTGAAAAAGATATAAAATTTGAAAATATCGAGATAGCTATAAATTATGACGATACATAGAAATAGGCAGGAAATAACATATATATATATATATATAGATATATATATATAGATATATAGAAGTAAATATGGACAGATAGAAGCAGATAGATAGATAGATATAGATAGATAGATATTAGCAGAGTGAGAATAACATATATATATATATATATATATATATATATATATATATATAGAGAGAGAGATATATATATATATAGATATATAGATATGGACAGAAGTAAAACAGATAGATAGATAGATAGATGAATGATAGATATAATATAAGAGAGTGAGAATAACATATATATATATGTATATATATATATATATATATATATATATATATATACAGAGATAGATATATATATATAGATATATATATATAGATATATAGATATGGACAGAAGTAAAGCAGATAGATAGATAGATAGATAGATAGATAGATAGATATTAGCAGAGTGAGAAATATATATACATAAATATGGACAGAAATAAACCGAAAATATACAGAGATAGATAGATAGCCAGATAGATTCTGCATTTATTTCTCCTAAAGAGTAACTGAGGACAACCGGATGGAAAGAATCTTTTGACATTCTTATGAATTTCCATAGACTTTCAAGAAACCCGTTGCTATTTTCTTTCCAAATCAGAAAAATAAAAAAAAATCCATCCATTTACAAATATGTCCGCGAGTTAAATACTGGCTATTTGACTTAATCTTCTAACACGAACTCTTTAAATAATGACATATATACGTAATCTTTTTTGCTATTTAGAAATACTTATAAATCAGTAGCTTTCAGCACCAGTTCGCGAATAAAACGCCATTGAAATTTTATGAAACGAAATTTCCTTCTGGTTCAAAAACCTCGAAATTATTTTGCACATGTTCTTCTTTTCTTTTTTTTTTTCTTTTGGGGGTGGGGTGTGGGGTCAGGAACAAAATGTAAATCGCAATATAATACAAATATATAAACGTTTATGAAATGACATTACTTCGATTTGAAGTTAAGAAACATGAAAGCTAAAGAATCTTGCAAGTTTTGTTTATTTATTTTATTTTTTGTCAAAACTTTCATGTATTTTTTTTTATCTCGAAATAAAAAAAAAGTAACTTAAAAAATAAAATTTGATTTTTTAGTAAAAAAATATCTTTGCATGTTCCCATTTCTTAAAACTTTTATAGAAAACCGGCGTTTTTCTTTTTATCTTGGTTCTGTTATTTTTATTATATTCTTTACTTCGCAAAAGATGTAAGACTAGTGTAGCGGTGATCGACACGGAAATTGGGACAGGCGTGTCGAGTTCAAATTCCATCCAGGTTTCTTGTGTTACCTTTCGCACAAATACCTTTGGGATAGTTATAAATTCGCCTTTTCTCCCACCAGCTTGGGGTTAATAGTAGAAAAGACAGAGCCCTTGAAATTTAGTTGACAAGCACTCTAAGAGAACAGGTCTGAATTCAAATATCGTTTGGGCGTACGCTGAGTATCTCTACCCCACAAAGACCTTCATGCTAGGGAAACCACCGGAGCAAAACGTAATAACAATAGAGCTAACACCAACCCTAAATGGGAATCAAGTTATGCCCTTCGATTAGAACTCTCTGGGACAACAAGAAAGAAAAATAAATTCAAAATGGTGGTCACGCATGCTCACATGTCACGTATCGAACTTTTAATCTACCGGTAATCACTAGTTATGTTTTGCATCTATTGTTATCTAGTAGGAAATAAAATGTATAAAGGTTCGAACTGTGTGTTCGTTCTTATTTGACACAAATAAACATACACCTAGCAACACAAGACTACCTGATCGACCTCACTTGAGATAATAGTCTACAACTCAGCACCATTCCAAGATTATGTGAATATCAGTGGTTGACTATCATGTGCTTCGCCAGGGCACATACAGTGTTTAATTCAGCGTTGCAATTCTCCTATAGTGGTTGCTAACCAAAGTCTACCTAGCTATTTATGCTATATGGGGAATGGAAATGGATTCATACCATTTCCATACAGCAAAATACATTTTTGAAAAAGTTTTCATCAAAGGAGACTATCCACATTATATATTTAATGTTGCTAGTGACAACGGAAGCTTTACAGGCTAACAAGAGATAAATCTTTGTTAAAATCGGCATGAGTTAACGCGGACTTCATTGAGATTAAATAATATGAGAACAAAAGACAGATTGTATATCTGCAGCCGACTGTCTTCAATACATAATTATCAGGAGACTAGTTCACAGATATTATGATTAAAATGTTCTACCATGTAATGAAATGAAACGAAATATTATCTCGACATGTTTTATTCCTTTGTTTCGAAGATTTGTTTTCCGCATTGAAGTTACTCATGTCCAACCCTCGAAAATATGCAATTTACGAGATGTGTTTATAAGCGCAGAATATAAACTTAATGATGCTGAAAATTCGAATATATCAAAAGAAACTATTCTGTGTTTTGTTCAAGTGAAAAAAAGGCAAAGCTTTGAATTTAATAAGGAAAAACATTATCATTTACTAAAGTTACTAAAATCTACAACAATAACAAATCTTCTATTCATTACAATTCTGTTAGACATAGTGTTATACTAGTTCCATTTCATTATTAGCTATTTTCTTTAATCTCTTATTTAGCCTGGTTAAACAAAATACATCTCTACCATAGGTATGGTAATAGTTATAAGAAAAACATACTGCGTATATAGCTCGCTATTATATTCGATTTCAAGTATTGGTTGAGAGTCTTGGAAAATATATTTCTAAAAATAGAACTCCAAGATATTATGTTATCGATCTCGACACTTATTCCATTTTAAGATTAACAATTAAATGCAACTTCAATCGCCATTATCTGTATTCTTGAACCCCCGTTCATCTATTATCCTTTCCTCAATCCCTCCTATACCCAGTCTTTTCTCTCACTTTCACTCTCTGTAACTTCCTGCATACTAGTGGCACTCCCGTCTTGCTTAGAAACACTTAAATTTACCAGAAAGTCTAAATTATACAGAAGTCTAACAGTTTTTCTTGGATGCATGAAGAAACGAAATTTTACTTACATAAATGGCATTAAATGAGCGGGAATTTTAATAAACTACTTTCATCATCATCGTCTACAGCAGCAGAAGTAGTAGTAGTAGAAGAAGCAACCTGTGAAGTAGTGGCTGAGAACCTAAATGAATTCTTGACAATTTTCCGTCATAAATGTCTATACATGTTTATCCTTTGCACGAAGACGAAGATTAATCATGTAAGTTCAAGGTTTATCGTCATTACTTTGTCCTGACACGTTGCCTTGCAAGACAGATTTAGAAAAACTAGACAATCGTACAGATATTCGTACTGATAATAAAATTATACGCATAGTCTAAATGATAGAACATGATGACGAAAGCTGTTGCATTATCATCCAAGATGGAATGAATTTATATATTGAACATAAACTTTTCAAATTTACATTATTGACATTTGGACTAAGGCCTCATTTTTATTATTATCAATTCAACATTTCGGCCGTTGTGCTCTACAGTCATTTTCTTCTACCTATAGATTAAATAAAGGGTTCAGTTTGAAATTCCTTGAAGGTTACCTGGGTTAACAGTACAATGTAAAAGGTTAAAGGTACAATGGTCGAAACGATGTGAT